GACCGTGACCACAAGTTGTGCCACGTGATATCAGAGACGGCATCCGACAAATTCCGAATTTTAAGTTGCTAAAAAAATAGAACCCTAGCATCACGTCACCAATCTAAAAAAATGCAATCGGAAAATGTGTACCAGAGGTTGGTGACATAGTTAGGTGCAATGTAACACGATCAAGATTCAAAACAAACGTTCGCTCTGCCAAAAATCGCTCGTAACTCGAAATCAGCATAAGAAACCGCCTTTTGTGTTCTAACAAAAATTTTCTTTGGAAAATTTTACTATTAAAATTACTCCCTTCTAGCTCTTAACCCTGACCCTAACCATAATCTTAACGAATCTTAAGAATTTTATCTGCGCTACCAACCTGGTACACATTTTCCAATTGCTAAGAAAATTCCGATTTTAATGCTAGAGTTTGGGTAGGCTTTCGTTTGAACTAAATAGTAGTTGGTGGTGCTAGAATGGTTCATATACTTTAACACGGCAATGTAATGCACAAATTCTAAGTTTCATTTTTATTAAAAAAAAAACCCGCCCCGTGCCTCAAAAAAATGCAGTATATTGCCACCAAAAAAACAAAACCTGTAGCCCTTCAAAAAATCTTTCGCTTTAAAACTACAATACCTTTAAAAAAACGTTTTTTTAAAAAAAAAAAAACGTTTTTAAAAAAAAAAAAAAAAATTTTTAAAAAAAAAAATTTTAAAATCTTTTTTTTTAAAAAAAAAACAAAAAAATTTTTTTTTAAAAAAAAAGCTATGAAAGTCACGATTTATTTCATATGGCCTTGACTCGCTTGACAGGAACTTGAACATCTTTGCTATTAACTTCAACTATCGCAGTGTGATTGTTGGACATGAGCAATTTAAACACACCATGTTGGGAAAAGGTTGGTTGCAACTTTCTTTTTTGAGTTTGCTGATTCATATCATGATTTGGTGCAATAGCAATTGTGGCCCCAGTTTCAATTGTGTTGTTAGCTATTTTTTTTCTATGCACACTACCCTGTCGATATATTCTTGCATGATACTTTTCAAGTGAAATATTTATAGATTGCTGAATTTCTAACATTTGAGAAATACGTTCTTCTATAGTATCGAAATCAGTAATCTGGGTGGTAGGTTTAAAGGCAGCAGTTTGGGCGGTAGTGGTTTTGCAGACAACATTCTGTATAACAGTGGTTTCGCAAACAACATCTTGGTTAGTGGTGGTTTTGCAGACAACATCTTGAGCAGTGGTAGTTTCGCAGGCAGCACCTTGGGCAGTAGTTTCACAGACAGCATCTTGGGTGATAGTTTTACAGACAGTTTCGACAGTGATTGTTTTGGTAGCAGTGGTTGTTTCGGTGTTGGTGGTTTCACAAGCAATTTCGGTAGTGGTTTTAGTGGTGGCAGCAACAATTTTGGCGGTGGTAGTTTCAGTAGTAGCAGCTTCTGAATGACATTTTTGGGAATACCTTTTATAAAAATAGATAAATGAATGATTAGTATTGTAATTTTAAAAACCATTTTAGCACCTTAAAACTTAACTAATCCTAACTCTAGCTTAACCATATTGAGTTTGCTAACCCTAACTATATTGAAACAAGTCAAATATCAACAAACCAGCCAAATAGAATATTTAAATATAATTTATTATACTATATAATATAATATATATATTATATTTATATAATTGACTTGATCAATTGGACTAGTTTGACCAATTGACCAATTTGACCAGATCAATTTGACTAGCAAATTTTTAGTCAACTACTAATTTGCCCAACACTGGATATTATGTAATATTTTAAAGAGAAGAGATTAGCCAAAAATCTTACATTAAACTTATATATTATATATAA